GGACTGGGGGCCCCCGCAGGAGAGACAGCGCCCCCCACAGGACCAGGACTGGACACCCCCGCAGGACCAGGACTGGGGGCCCCCGCAGGAGAGACCCTAAAGCAGGGCTGTTGCTCTCCCTTCCTGCAGGGGGCGCTGTGTGGGTCTGTGCTGTCAGTTGGACTGCTGAGGGGAGGAGCCGGGTACGACAGTGAGGGTGTTGTGTGTCAGGTTTCTTGCGGAGGGCGTCAGCGCGGCCTGTCGGACCTGTCGCTCTGAGCGCCGCCTTCAGCCCAGGGCCTCCCTGTTGCATCCCCCCGCCACCCTTTGAGCAAAAACATGCCTGCGGGGTTTGAACCTGCCTCCTGGGTGTCCTACCAACCCCGTTCCCCCTCACGGCTGCTCCCATGATCCTCTCCTCCCGCCTTGGGCCCAGGGGATTGTGGGCTGGGCTCTGGGTTTCGCCAGGACCCGTGGGAGCTGCCCTGCATTAGACCCACACAGACCGTAGGGTGAGCGCCCCCTGCTGGCCCCACTAACACCTCTTCCAGCAGCAGCCTCAGCTCTCCCAGGAGTCTCCCCTCCAGGTGCTGGCCAGGCTCACCCTGCTGGGCTCCAGTGGGGCTGCCAGTGGTGAGCCGCAGGGCGATACGGCTTCTGGCAGTGCCATTAATTAGATACTAGGGGCAGTCTTCCTGCCATCTTGACCGTCCCACTGGGGGCAGAATCTGTGATTTGTCAAGCTCCTCTATTCATTCCGGGGCAAATGCAACAACACAAACAACAAAAAAGAGCAACACAACACCTGTCTGGGCAAGGAGGGGCCAAAATCGCCTTTCGGGAAAAAAAAAAAAAACGTGACCGAGCGCAGCCGGAAATTGCCGAACGTCGTCGCGCTCGCGTCCGGTCGCGGGTTGACCTCCCCCCCGCCCCCCTCCTCTTTCTCCGGGAATTGCCGAAGCGCCTTCGGGCCGCGCTCGTCGGCCGGGCCGGCGTTCGACACCCTCTCCTCCTCCTCCTCCTCCCGCCTACCCGACGCGGCTCTGCGGCGGCCATGTTCGCAGATCTTGTTCCGGTATTGACAAATCCGGAGCGGTCAGGGTCCTGACAGACGGGAGCCGCTCCGAACCCCCGTATCCGCCTCGGAGATCCTCGGAGCCGCCGTGAGGAAGACGGGGAGAAACTCCAGCGAGGGCGCGGAGGGACTGAACTTGACAGCCTCGCCTTATCGACGGCCCTATCGATTGGACTAACCCGGATCTTGTGGAGTTTTTTTTCTTTGGAAGGGGGGGGGCTGGAGGTTATTTTTTTCATTCTTGTTGTTAGAATTATTTTTTGTTTCTGGCGTTGGCGACTTCTGGCACGACCGCTACCACCTCCACCTCCTGAGCTGCTGTGTCGTCTTTTTTTTTGGTGGTGGGGGGGGGGGTTCGGGTTTTTTCTGGTGGTGGGGGGGGGGGGGGGGCAGGCAAAAAGTTTTTGGAGGGGGGGGAGGGGGCGGAGAGAGAGAGAGAAGAGTACGCTTACTTCCAGGCAAGAAGGTCGAGTTCCGCTCGGCCCGGCCTCCGAGTCCCGCATCCCCGGGCTCGATTGGAACGCGGCTGCCGGGGAACGCGGCTCCGCCTCGGGGTGAGCCCTCGTCGCTCGTCCGCCTCCCTCCCCTTTAGTGCGGAGAGCCCTACTCTCGGGACCCCCGCCCCCCCCGGCCCTGCTCTGCAGGGAGCCAGAGAGGGGGACATCGCTGGCTCCGATGTGAAACCCCTTCCCAGGACATCCAGTTTTTGTTCGCTCTCCCGAACCTATGTTGTTGTTCTGTTGGCTGCTGCAGAAACAGTTGACCCCCTCCCGCCTCTCTCCCTCCTCCTCCCGGTCGGTTCGCCAGTCGTTCCTCCGACCAATGTGGAGTCCAACTTGTTGATAATCCTCTCCCCCTCCTTCCTTGTGCGGTTTCGTTTTGTTCTGCGCCGGCCGACTGCTGAGAGTTGTCTGTAAATGTCCTAAGAGATGTCTACAAGGGCGACTCTGTCGACGGTGATCGAGCACGCTTCGGCACAGGTGAGTGCGCCTTCCTCCTAGCCGGCTCGGTTCGGGTGTCCTGCTGGGGCCGGTGTCGGGACAGGTGGCTGTTTGTTTGGGGGGTTACGGTTTTCTCTGAAGGCGCAGAGAGAGAGAGAGATTTCGTTGGGCAGCTGAGAGATTCGGTCCTAAGCGGAGCCAGGATTATCGGCTGACGACAGCTCGGCCGGGCCTGTTGTGCTCGGCACCCACCACTCTCCGCGTAAAGACGCGGCGCACCTGTTCCCAGGGTCACACGCGCTTCCCTGTAGTTCTCGTAGGCAGCTCTGCTCTCACAGGAGCCCTGGGTGCCCGTGCAGCGTGCGAACACTTTCTGAGCCCACTCTTACTGGGGGAATCGAGCTGCTGGCTCAGGTGGAGGGCCTGGTGTTTGTGCTCGTAACAGTTTCCGCTGAAAGAGAAAGAGCTTCGACTGGCTCCCTGTGACGTGGGTGACACTGACCCCCCTCTGCCTGTCTGCGTCCCAGGGCGCAGTGGGTCAGGGCTGTCCTGTTCTCAGAAAGTATCGTGGCCCCGGGGGGCTGTAATACAAAGGGGGCTGGTTCCCCAACTGGGCGTGCAGAGAGGGGGGATCGCTGTGGGGGGGGCTTGTAGAGACAGGGGTGCAGGGGTGCCTCTGGAGAAGCCTGACGAAAATACCACCCCGGGACACCGTGATTGGCGCACGCCCGGGAGCTGTCCGACCCGCTCTGCCTGGGCCCGGAACTTTCCTCTGGGTTCTGGCGG